TCTTGCACCTTCTGTCAGTGGAACTCCCTTCCTATTACTTACTTCCCTGATAGCTATAATATTCAAATGTAATGTCAATTGACATCTTCTGATGCCTTAATCTTGATCTCTGTCCTTCGTTTTATCTTTTTCCCAAACACTCCTCTTTACTTTTACTCTCAATCTCTGAAACCCCTTGCATGCTAGTGGCACTCCCACCTTGCTAGGGGTGATTTGCTTAAAAAAAAGAAAAGAAAAAAAAGGTCATCCAATAATGTACCTCTCGAGAAAATTAATGTCACCTAAAGCTAGCTACTCAAATATTGACAAAGAAGCGTTAGCAATAGTATGGAGTACAGAAAGAGCTTGAAAATTTTTGTTAGGACAAAAATGTTTGTTAAAGTCACAAACATTTAGAGTTTATATTTAATGCCAGAAAGGAATTATCAAAAGTCACGTCTTCTAGAATTTTCCTTTGGTTTGAAGATCATATGCATAAAGGGAAACACTATTCCACATGTGGATGCACTATCCAGACTAAATTTCAACATTAAAAAATTAGAAATGTTTAAAAATTCAGAAGATAAAATCCTGCGCTTGGTTGAAATGGACATATTACCCCTAAATTGTCTCAGAATGGAAACCATACAAGATCCAATGTTAAGTTGAATTTCACTCAGAGTAAAAAGAAATACATGAAGTAATTGTTCAATGGTAAAAAGGCCATACAAAAAATCAAGACATAAGTTAACTGTAGAGAAAGGTATAATATGCAATGGAGAAATTATAATACCCCCACAAAATTTAAGAAGTACTAAAAGGTGTACATGATGATGTACATTGTGGTATAACAGCAACACAAATGAGATTAAAATGACAAGCATGATGGCCAGGATATTCTTGAGATGTAGAAAACTATGTAAAAAGATACCCAAAATGTGCTGAAATAAAAAAAAAAACTTTTGGCAAAAGAAAATTCACTTGTGGCCTAAAGAAAAAGAGACATGGGTTCGGGAACACATGGATCATGGTCATATTAAAGGCATGGGGCTATTATTTAATTTTAGTGGACTTATTTTCAGGATGGCCTGAAATAATTAAGGTTGCTGACAGAAAAGCTACCATGGTAAAACAAATATTAAGAACAATATTTTAAAGGTATGGGGTGCCTAAAACTTTGGTCTCAGATAACGCACCAGAATTTTGCAAGGAAACTTTGTGCTGGTGCCTAAAGAGTATTGGATTTATCCCATGTAAAAAAACACCCAAAATCGAATGGAATCTCAGAAAGAATGGTGGGACTAAATGCATTTTTCTTATCTAATGATAATATAGAGAGTTACTTAAGCTATAGGACAATTCCACATGCCAGCAGACTACAAAGTCCCCCCCCCACATTAATGAGTAGACAGAACTCTGATAACAATGTCATTTTCAACAAGTGAAAGTATATGGTATAAAAAAGACAAAGAATCTAATCCAGAGATGGCAAACTTTGTAGTACCAAAAAGACACAACATAGCAATACTAACAGAAAATGGACAAAATATACTGGCCAATGTGGATCAATTAAGAAGCAGAATGGAAGCCAAGTATATAGAAATGGACAAAGAATCAGAAGGTGAAGAACATGAAGAGGAGGAGGAAGGGAATAATGAATCCAGTAATGAAATGGAACAATCTATAAATGTTAATGACCAGAAATCTGACAAGGAGTCGGAAGAGGAAAATGAACTCAGACATAAGTTCCCTATAAGAAGAAATCAAGATACACACCAAGAAAGACAATTTAGATTCCCAAGCATAATTAGAAGTCAAAGATCAATGAAAGGCATAAGGCCATTCGGTTCAGGGAGGTATAGTATTGTATATAAATGAGGTACTACTATAAAAGCAGTATGCCACAGTGAATGCCAGTCAAGCTACCATCTGTTAACAACGTCTATTTCAGAGAGTACTCTACTTCATAGCAGCCATTCTGTATGAAACAATGCCTAAAACAACTGAAGATGTTAAGTGTTAGCTTGATTTAGCTTTGGTATAGGCGGTGAGTGCCAAAAATACATTGCAAAGTAAAGTGGGGGTTATTCACCAAATCCGCTGGTATTTGGATGTAACCCAAACATACTGAGAATCCTTCATGGTTTATTGATTTACTTCCTGATTTAGAGCCAACCATTTCAAGTGAAATTATAAGGAAGAATCTAGAAGCTTTGCATAAGGCCAGATAGAATTTCATGCAAGATGAATCCAGTCAAAAGATTGAAAGGGCATTTAAACACAAAACAAGAACTTTCTCGGATGAGACTTTTGCGAGTGGCAAAAAGGTTTTCTACTAGTGGAAAGAGGGAGGCTGGAGAGGTCTAGCAACAGTTGTTGGTAAAGATGGCAATGGGATCATGATTCATCATGGAGGAGCTTTGTGTAAATGTTATCCATGTTGTTTGCTTAAAGTGCAGAAGGCTTTACAAAAAATCAAAACTAATCAGAAAAAGCTGGACACATTAAAAAATCCAAAAAGAAAAGTGATGATTCCTGACAGTTTCTCATGATGATTCCAATGCAGAAGACACAAAAGAAAATTTAGATAAGTCTAAATTTGAGAGTAGAGATGATACAGGACAATCCAGTGATGACAGAACAGTGGATCATTTATGATGGCTATTTGAGAACAATTTTCATGATAATGGTTCAGTTGGCATTGATCAAGCAATGGCATTAGGTGAATCTGAATCAGGGAGCTCTTCAATCTTGAATTAGAAAAGGTTACTGAAGAGTGATAAACTACTGAGACCAAAACCAAATGTACAGCTGAAACTGAGTGATGACACAACAATGTCTATCAAGGAATTGTCACATCAACCAAAACTCCAAAGAAAAGTTGGAGAAAGCTAAATGTACATATTCAAGGAAATGTTGAACCCAGCAGTCTTCACTGGAAAGATGTGGTATCATGGAATGAAATACCAGACCAGAAATAAATAGTTTTGTTTTTCTCCATTGATGAAATGAGTCAAGAGGTATTGGATGCAAAAGAGAAAGAAATCCAGAATTTGAAAAACATTGATGTATATTTATTGTTGTGGAATACAATAAACAATTATTAATTTCATAGGAATGGGTGTTCACAGAGAAAATCAAGAATGGTATCAATGTTGTCAAGGCTCATCTGGTTGTTAGAGGCTTTGAGGAAAGAAAGACCAATCAAAGGACAGATTCACCAAATGTAGTTGCCAGTCACTAAGAATGGTGTTTGTTACTGCACCTACTGCAAGTTGTAAAATTAATTCAATTGGCATAACTTTTGCATTTCTGCAAGGAGACACAAGAGGGATGTGTATCTGAAATCCACACCAGAATTCTGTGATTCTGTACAAATTTGGAAATTAAAGATGTGTATTTATGGGTTCAGTGATGTATCTTGTGCATGGTATGAGCACATTCAACAGGAACTAGTAAATCTTGGTGGAAAGCCAAGTATCTAGGATGACACCATGTATTTGTGGCACAAAAGCAGTAAGTTGGAAGGGATTTTGCTGTACCATGTGGATGATTTTATTTATGCAGGCTCATTGGAATGGGTCCAGAACACAGTTAACATGTTCTTGAATATATTTGATATAAGTTCTCATGCTTTAGGTTCATTGAAATATGTTGGTTTGAATGTAGTTCAAAATAAAACAGAGGTTCAAGTTGATCAGCAAAAGTATGTTCAGAAGTTGAAACCAATCTTTTTGTCAGAAGACCATAGAAAACACAAGGATAATGAACTAACAGTTGAGAAAAAATCAGCACTTCTTTCTTTAAATGGGCAGCTATTATGGGCTTCTACACAGTTCACTGAGCTATCATAACTTGACCCAGGGATTGAAATCACATCTGCCAACTCACAATTTAATCATGTACAGCATCATTTGTCTGGGTATCAGTTGTCATGTGTGTGAATTTATATTAAAGGAATTCAAAAAAGGGATGAGGAGGGAATGATTTATTTGAATTGTTTCATTCTCCACATGGGTTCCCAGTGAAAAGATGGCTGCTTGGCACTTCTAGGTAAGATTGTCCATTTCTTGCTAGGAGAGTGTCAAGGGTAGCAACTAAAGATTAATACAGTGTAATTAATATAGAACAAGGTCTTCCTAATCATGTGCACATGCTTATCTTAAAATCCTGATATGCTAGAAAAATTCTAGGTACAAGCTCAGAATCAATGTAATCAATTTGCTCAAGAATATTTGCTTTTATCTTGGTCAGCAGTAAAATTATTGTAATTAACATTGCATCATGTTTTGCATTTGGGGATCATTTCTCTCCTGAAATAATTATTAATTGGTCCATAGCAACTTAATGATAATTTGAGAATTGTCAGTTTATTAAAAACTTTAGTATTATTCATTTTACTTAAATTAACCTGGTACAGGGTTTGAGAGTCACCCAAGTCAGAGGGTTACTGAATAAGGTCTGTGTCATGAACATAAGAGATGGAAGTGGGAAGTAAAGATTATGATGAAATAGTGGATAGATAATGATTGACCTTTTTTTTTAAGCATTTCACCCCTAGCAAGGCAGAAGCCATTAGCATGCAAGGGGTTACAGAGGATTTAGAACGAGAGCAGATAGGAGTGATAGAGGAAAAGATGAGGACAAAGATAGTGGATAGATCAAGGCAACTGGAGATGTTGATTGACATTACATTTGAATAGTTGGAGATTATAGCTATCAGGGAAACAGAAATAGGTAAGGGAGTTCCACAGGTGAGATGTGCGAGATATGAAGATATTGGAGTAGAAGAGGCACCTACATTTAATAGTTTCAACAGTGAAATGGTGATAGTAGAATAGTATATTGGGATATGTTCACATTTGACACTGAAAATTTCTCTTGTAAGAATTATGAAAACAATGTATTTATTATAGATAAGTATAGTCAAGTGTATTTATATTTACATAATACATTATTCTTATTTTTTATGCTTCCAGGAAATGTCCTATGATCTTGGGGATTGCACTAAGTGGGAGTTCATGTTTCCCACAAATGAGAAACCAGTTTTACTTCTACCTGATGAGGACATTGACATAGAATTTGAGGATGAAGTTGTAAGTTATAAATTTTTTAAAAAATGTATTTTGTTGATTTTTCATAGTATTGGTCACTTGTTGTATGTTTTATTTACCTTGGTAAATAAGTGAAATAATATATATATTTTTTGTATTGTGCTTTTTAAGAACTGCAAGGTAACCTTGTCATATTTGGGAAGATATTAAAATAATCCAGAACTTATACTGGAAGCAAATCACCTGCATATAGATAAAAATGAATACAGTAAATTTTATTTTTATTTCTTGGTAATGTCTGTGACAGATGATGCAGTGTTTAGTTATATTTTTAGGCATTCTCATGAGGTCAAAATGCTTGATTTTATATCAGAGTTTCCTAGATAGATGACCATTAAAATGGCTACTGAGTTTTACCAAACAAATTATTTTTTTTATGATGATGTTCAACCTGTACAAGGCTTGAGACCAACTCAAGATAGAGGGTTACAGAGTAAGAGGCATAGATTATGTGGATATGTGGGAAAGATAACAGTTAACCCTAGACTTGAAGAGGTTAATATTATAGTGATTGGGGAAGCATTCTTTTGTGAGTTGGTTCCACAGAGCAACAATTAACAAAAACAGAAAGCAGTATGAGATAAGGATGTGTCTTCCTACTATGCTTATTCATTTTATACAGTGAGGTGATTCTGAGCAAATTAGAAGACCTACAGTGGAGTAATGGATAGTGGCTCGGATTGAGGAATCTGAGAACCGAGTTCGAATTCCATTCAAATCCATTACATTCACTTATGTGCTAATACCCTTGGGAAAGGTATGAATCCTCTCTTCTTCTCCCTCCAGCTATGGGTAAATAGTAGGACAGACCAGGTTCTATAGCTTTGGATGGAAACTAGTCTACCAAAGAAATGGCAATGTACTGCAGGAAAAAATCTGTCTTGTCAGTCATGTATCGAAAGATACATGATTGCCTAAGCATGTATCATGCATGACACATAACTAACTGACTAGGATTTATTATTGGTGGCCACAAACATGACAACATAAGATATGCTGATGACACTGTGTTGATAGCAAACATAGAAAAGAAACTACAAGATTGGTTTGGTTTGTTTTACGGCTTATCAACCTTAATGGGTTATTTAATGCCGACAAGACTTTTATTGCTGGTTATATTTTTTTTTCCAAAAATGTATTGCTGGTAATATTTTATTTTCCAAAAACATATTGCTTGTAATATTCTTTTTCTTCAAAAATTTATTGATCGTAATAATTTTTACAAAGTATTTCTGGTATTAAAACCTATTTTTACACTTTCATAGTTTTTGACCCCATGTTTGGGTAGGGGGGGGGTTAACTATTTGCCCATATCTGAGACCCTAACAGGTGCTACCACCCTATGTCAAAGTGGACATGGGAACACCAGCAATTAAGAGGTGGTTCCACGCTCCTCAAAACCTGATCAGGGGCCTTGTTGGGCATATTTTATTGTCTTACCTAGGACGCGGATGTAGTTTATTGTCATACCCAGGATGGAGGAAACTACAAGAACTTCTACAGAAGGTAATGAAAGAAAGCAAGAAGAAAGGACTAAATGCCAATTATAAGAAGACAGAATGTATAGTTATCAGGAAAACGAACAGCCCAACATGCAAACTCCAAATTGGAGATACCAAAATGAAGTACTAAAATTTAAATATCTAAGAAAATATCAAGAAATGGGAAAATTTTGTTAGAAACAATGAAAAGAGTCCTTAATTGTTATGTAATATCAGTCCTTCTATATGGCAGTGAATGCTGAACAGTCTACTCACAGATGAAGAAGAGACTTGAAGCAACAGAAATGTGGTATTACAGAATATCATGGATTGAACATGTAAGCAGTGATGAAGATTTAGATAAGATGGTAACAGAAAGGAAACTTATACTTTCCATCAGAAAGAGTTAAAATTTCTAGGATACATAGTGAGGAAAGAGGGAATAGAAAATTCAGTATTTTTTACAATACCCAGTGAAAGTTATACTGAAGACTAATTAATTTATGTAGTGTTATTTATAAAAAAAATTCCTTCTCTTTATTTTGAATCATTACTTTTATTAGCAGATGTTCATTCTCCCTCCTTTCTTTTTGTATCCAATGATTCCTTCTCTTTATTTTGAATCATTCCTTCTATTTGCAGATGTTCATTCTCTTTCTCCTTTCTGACATCCCTTTTGTGTTCAGTGATTCCTTCCCTCTATTTTGGATCATTCCTTCTATGTGCAATCTTTAATACTTTCAAATTTAATAATTTCCTTAAACTGACAATTTATGTCTTCTCTACATTCCATTCATCCATCATTACTAATCATTTCTTCACTCTATTTCCAATCATTCCTTCTCTCTACATTCAATCATTCTTTCTATTTTCAATCTTTCTTAGTCTCTTATTCAATCATTTCTCAAATTCATAATTGTCCTTCTCTACATTCCATCTATTTCCAATCATTCCTTCTCTCTACATTCAATCATTCTTTCTATTTTCAATCTTTCTTAGTCTCTTATTCAATCATTTCTCAAATTCATAATTGTCCTTCTCTCTACATTCCATCTATTTCCAATCATTCCTTCTCTCTACATTCAATCATTCTTTCTATTTTCAATCTTTCTTAGTCTCTTATTCAATCATTTCTCAAATTCATAATTGTCCTTCTCTCTACTTTCCATCTATTTCCAATCATTCCTTCTCTCTACATTCAATCATTCTTTCTATTTTCAATCTTTCTTAGTCTCTTATTCAATCATTTCTCAAATTCATAATTGTCCTTCTCTCTACATTCCATCTATTTCCAATCATTCCTTCTCTCTACATTCAATCATTCTTTCTATTTTCAATCTTTTCTTAGTCTCTTATTCAATCATTTCTCAAATTCATAATTGTCCTTCTCTACATTCCATCTATTTCCAATCATTCCTTCTCTACATTCAATCATTCTTTCTATTTTCAATCTTTCTTAGTCTCTTATTCAATCATTTCTCAAATTCATAATTGTCCTTCTCTCTACTTTCCATCTATTTCCAATCATTCCTTCTCTCTATTTCCAGTAATTCCTTCTTTTTATATTCAATCATTCTTTCTATTTTTAAACTTTCTTGCTCTCTTATTCAAAGATTTCTCAATTTTATAATTGACCTTCTGGCTACATTCCATCAATTTACAATCATTTCTCCTCTTGATTTCCACACATTCTTTTTCTTTATATTCAACCATTCCTTCTATTTTCAATATTTCCTTCTGTTTTATTTTGTTTATTCCTTAAGCTTGTAGCTTTTACCTGCTTAGTCATCTTCCCTATCATCTGTTCCCCAACATAAAAAAAATCTTGGCTGCGAACCATTAACATACAGTTTATAACATCATATCTGCTGTTGTTGAGCTTCTTGACTAACTAGATGAACAATCTTTGGACGGTCAGATTTCAGTTTACCTGGTAAGATATAATGCAGTTATTAATAAGAAGAATTGAAATTAATGCATGCAAGATTTCACAGCTCTATCACCAGTCATTCATAGTCAGCCTATAAACTTTTCAGCCTAGTCTCGTTCTTAATTTGACATCCATAGGGGAATCAATTTGAAACGAATTTACAGAGCAAACTAGATTCCACTTTTAATTTTTATAAAATTTTATAAAATAATTTTGCATATTTTTTTTCATATTACTGTAGATTAAGAACTCCAAATCTGAAATGTTAATTTTTTTTTTAAATATCACATTTCTTAAAATGTAAAAAAAATAAATAATATTTTGAAATTTCATAATCTGGAGTTCTTTTTTGAAATATAAATATCAATTAAGTACTCCAGATTAAGAATTTCTAACAAAAAACTTTTCACTTTCTTTACATTTTAAGAAATCATGTCATATGAATATATTTGTTTTGCCTTCCATAGGGGGGATCAATTTACAATTAATTTACATAGCAAACTGAACCCGACAATTTATAAAATTTAATAAAAAAGTAAAAGCAGTTGATAGCCATAGTTTTGAGTACTTCATCTATATTAATAGGGAAAATCTTTCTTAAAATAAGGATTATTCTGATTCTGGTACCTATTGTCTATCTTCATGGTCAGCTACAATAAAATCCCAAAGATAGGCAATAGTATAAATATAAAATAACTTTTTTGGTGCTTAACAGTTCTGAGAAAAAAAAACAAACAAAAAACTGTTTGACATTTTAAATTTCAGTTATTGTTATATTTTGGTCGCTGTGCAGTAAGAGTTTTTTCTGTGTCTAATGGATAAGTTATGGATGATATCATTTTGTCTATAGATCAAAGATTAATATATTTAAAAAGGGATGTTATTGAACTTTATATAGCACTAAGGTTAATAAGGGAGTGATACATGATCCAAATGGGCCCAAACATGTCAATATTAAATGAATTCAGTTTCAACAGAGAGATTGATCACAAATTAGGTAGAGGAATTGGACAGAAGCCATGAAAAGACAGCTTTTAGAAAACTTGGCTAATGTCAATTGAAACAGTTGCTGTGATAGAGCTTAGCTGTCACTTGCAGTTATAAGGAAATTGCTGAGATGCTCATGGAAGCCTACTAATATTTAATGAAGCTGAGTAAACTTGGAATGAAATCTGGAAATTTCTTCTCTGATAACCAGAATGTTGTATTGATTGGTTGGTGGGTTATAATCACTTTATTTTTAACTAGCTTAAAAGCTGCCCTACTGGGTCTCATTCAAGCTAGCTCCCGCAGAGAGCTCTTGATTGGGCCTTTGGCTTGTTCAGGAGTTTGAGAGTCCATAAGTCTTTGCATATTCTAGCACTGGAAACTCTCCTTGCTGCATTTTGATCTGTGTTCTCATTTACATGGGACTTTCTTTTCCTTGCTGCAGGCTTGGATCTTTTGATTGTAATCTGGGCCTCTATTGGGGGAGATTTCTTTTTACAAGGCATACTGCTGTCATATGTAATAGGCAACAATAAACTACAGAAGAACTAAAAAATGATCATTGTATTTAAATATTGCATTAATATTTAAGCTTACCTTTTAAAAGTTCAACCATAAATCTTCTGCCACCATTTAATTTAAAGATAATTTGATGTACGTAGGTCCTTACTTTCCATACAAACAATTATTTTTATTTCATAGGTGACTTTCACTGGATTTCGCAATTAATTTCAGTTATTCCCAAATTTATTTCCAAGTCATTAAAATTGTTATCGCACAAATGAAAACTTGGGAATCCAAAATTTCTGTAACATGGCCTATTGAAAGTTAGAGAGTTGTGTCCCTTTAATTGAAAGTGTGTGACACAGTGACACACTGACATTTGTATTTATTATATAGAAGAAGAATATGAGCTATTGAGAGTTGTGTCCCTTTAATTGAAAAATTGTGATACACTGACATTGGTATTTATTATATAGAAGTCAATGATAATAAACGCTGCCACATAGTGACCATTTTAAATGTCATTATGTCTCTTCATTTGATTCTGTATGTATGTGTTTGTTTCATTTGTGTATGTGTGTGTGTGTGTGTATATATATATATATATATATATATGGGTATGACGATAAACTACATCTGTGTCCTGGGTAAGACGATAAACTACGTCCAACAGCAAGGCCTCTGATCAGGAGGTTTTAAGGAGCATGGTACCACCTCTTAATTGCTGGTGTTCCCAGGTCCACCCTGACCCGGGATGGTAGCATCTGTTAGGGTCCCAGCTATGGGCAAATAGTTAACACTCAAACTTTTGTAAAAATAGTTTTTAATAGCAGAAATACTCTGTAATAAAAAAAATATATGAGTAATTGAAAAATGGTTTAAATATATATATGTATACATACACACCTTTTTTTACCAAACTATCGCTATGAATCTATTTGGGAAATTTTGTTGGCATTAAATAACTCACTGAGGTTGATATGCCATAAAACAAAACAACCACCAAATATATATATATATATATATATGTTTTTCTTTTACTGTTGGTACACCTGGGGACTCTTGTCCAATTTGTACATTGTACAGTAACAAGAAAAAGAAATAAGTAAATAAATAAATAATACCGTATGTACTCATAAGATGATTGGTTTGGAGTCAATTTTTTTACATTTGTTTTATTCATCGGTACCATCATTTTTTATTTGCAAGCTTGAATGACACACAGACACACACACACACACACACACACACACACACACACATTTTTCATACATATATATATATATATATATATATATATATATATATATGAATGATTCATAATTTATGCTGTACTTTTTTTAATCTCTTTTCAGGATAATAGTGCAGAAATTGAGAAACATTTGGACATGCCTCGTTCATGGGTGGAGCCACTGCACATTTCTCTGAATGGTAAGTTTTCTGTATATTCTTGTTTCCTTGTCTTCACACAGTCAGTAGGGAATCATTTTCTACTAAACTTTTCTGAAGTTAATGTAAATGTAGCAATAAACCAATGAATGAATGAATTTCTATGTGCAAACATTCATACTAAAATGAATATTTTCTTACTAAACATATTGCATCTCATTTTTGTTACTTTTTAAATAAAGCATTTTCACAGTCATTATTTTATTACTAGCTTTACCTCATTGTACTATTGTTGCTTTTTTGATGAAGCATTTTTACTATTATTATTTTATTACTAGTTTTACTCCATTTTATTCAGTCAGTTATGTGCCATACATGATACACGCTTAGGTGATCATGTATCTTTCGATACATGACTAATGAGGCAGATTTTTTTCCAACAGTAGGTTGCTATTTCTTTCTGCGGTAGACCAATTGCCATCCAAGGCTATAGAACACGGTCTATCTTACTACTTACACATAGCTGGGGGAGGGGAGAAGAGGAGGATTCATACCTTCCCCAAGGGTATTAGCATGTAAGTGGCTGTAATGGATTCGACTGGAATTTGAACTCAGCACTCCGATTCCTCAATCTGAGTGTTGTCCATTATTCCACCGTGTAGCCCTGTCACCTGGGGCTGTAGAATACATTGACTGCACCTCTTCAAAGGGGTAAGACTGCCCCCATCCCCATGGGGCCACCTGTTGGCTGTGGTTGGTGACCCGTAAGGCGCTAGGATGGAATACTGGTGTTTGAGCAGTTATTGATCTGGCAATAGAGTAGTCAATGGCTTGCAACATACCACTTTGGCCCTTACTTGGTCTGATGGGTGGTTGGATATGCCCGATCCAATCAATCGGCTGGTCCTGTCATGCCCTAGCAAATATATCTTTCTTTTCTCAATCTGCTCTTGCAGAATAACCCCTTAACTCTTTATCTTATATGTGTTAGAAGGGTCAATTGTGTTAAAAGGAAAAGACTTTTTGACCCTGTTAAATTGTTTAATAAAAACCAGAATTTGGCAGAAGCCCAGAATCTTGCTCTTGACAATAGTATTCTAGTATTGTATCCCCCATCTCAGCCAAGATGAAACGGGTTTGCCCCTTTGTTCATTCCCAACATAAACTGGACTCCGTGGTGGGTGGTGGAGCATAGGACCAATCAGAAAATATATACTTATGGTTTCTTCCTTCAAAAAATCCAAAAGATATTTATTGCATTCTGACTCAGAGATTGAAACAGATTATTCAGGATTCATTATTATTGAATCATTAGAGGAAATCAATAAATTGGATAAGTTATCACCTTTCTTGATAGAGAAAATCATATCAAGTGGGTTGAATCCAAAAAATGTAAAAAAAACTTCAAAATGGTAACTTTCAAGTGGAAATTGAAACAAAAAAACATGTGGAAAATCTACTCAAAATGGATAAATTTCACAATATCAAATGTAGAGCATATCCACATGAAAAATGAAACACTTCAAAAGGTGTTATAAGAAGCTGCAAACTTTCGTTAGCAATACAAGAAGAAATTGAAAGTGCATTAAAAAACAGGAATATAAGAAAATATCTATTTGAAGGAACAATGATATTATAGAGACTCATATATATACACTAACATTTGAAAAACCTGTAATACCAAAAGAAATCAGGATTGGCTATACTATAGAAAGGGTATACCAGCTCCCCCACAGTCTTTCATGTAAAAAATTTGGACACCACAAAGACATTTGCAGAGGACACCAAGTATGTGGGAAGTCTGGTGAATGTGATCCAAATCACACAGAGAATGAATGCAGTAATGTGATATGTGCTAACTGCCATGAAGAACACCCTGCCTTTTCAAGGACCTGTGATATCTACAAGAGAGAAAATATACCTTTCCTAGAAGCCAGAAAAATTGTTGAAAGCTATAAGGGAACAAAAACCTATGCTAATATAATACAAAAGGCAAATCAAAACCCCCAGAACCTCGCTCCAATAGATAAGTATAAAAAACTTATAGAAAAATTAATAAATTTGAATACAAATGAATGGCCAACATTCCAAGAAAATCTTAAAAGAATGTATTTAACAGAAATAAAACAAACTGAGTCTTGTATGAAAAGAAAATTAAATAATGATACCAATGTAGAAATGCCCATAGAAAATTCTAAGATGACTGAATCCACAAAGATATTAACAAAGACATAATTGAAAATAAAATAAAAAATATTGCTATTAAAAAACAAAATGCTATTAAAAAAACCCTGATAAGCATATCAAAACAAATTTGAGGAAATGGAGATTGAAAATAAAACTCCACAAACAAGTAAACCTCAAAAAAAAAAAAAAAAATCTCACAAATCTCAAAATTGAATTTAAATGAACAAAATATAATTCAATGGAATATCAAAGGATCAAGGATCAATTATTATAAATAGGTTTTAATACCAGAAATACTTTGTAAAAAATTATTACCAGCATTTTTGAAGAAAAAAACTATTACCAGCAATATGTTTTTGAAAAAAAAATATTACCAGCTGTACATTTTTAGAAAAAAATATTACCAGCTATACATTTTTGAGGAAAAAAATATTACCAGCAATACTTTTTTTCCAAAAAAAAAAAAATAATATTACCAGCGATACATTTTTGAAGAAAAAATATTACCAGCAATACTTTTTTAGAAAAAAAAAATATTACCAGCGATACATTTTTGAAGGAAAAAATATTACCAGAAATGGATTTTTGACAAAACAAAATATTACCAGCAATAAAAAAAAAAAGTTGGCATTAAATAACCTATTGAGGTTGATATGCTGTAAAACAAACCAAACCAAACTCCACTGTGCCTCCATCTTATTATTGTTGCTTTTTAGATAAAGCACTATCTGTTATTATTGTTTCATTACTTGTTTTACTCCATTTTATTAGTGTTGTTTTCAAGATGAAGCATTTTCACTATTATTATTTTATTGCAAGTTTTACTACATCTTCACAGAATCATTGAAAGAATAAATTAATTATGAGGGCAATTTTATTATCTGTCTATATCTCTGAGGTGAGGTATTATGATTATTTACATTATTCGGACTGTTACTTCATTGCCATATTCCCAGCATTTCAGCCGTTGTACACTCCAGCCTTCTTCAGGTGATTGGAATGTCAAACAGAACCCTTTATTTTATCCACTGGGGTTGATCCAGTGACTAGACGCAAAGTGATGTGAGTTCAGTACCAGGCTACAGCAGTGGTGAACCAAAAACTTGTAGAGTTAAGTTAAAGGGAAATAACTGAGGCATTTGGAAGAGGCATGACACGTGGAACTAGAACAATCTACTCCAGTGGACAAAATAAAGGGTTCAGTTTGAAATTCCAATCATCTGAAGGCTGGAGTGTACAATGGCCGAAACGTTGTGAATATGGCAATGAAAATGATGATAACAGTCCGAATAATGTAAATAATGTAAATAATCATAATACCTCATCTCAAGCATTCCTCAAGGCTCCTTATTCAGTCCTACACTCTTCTGCTCTATATTAACGATCTGCCTAAGAGCATAGATCTCTAATAAATATCTATGCAAATGATACCAAGGTGTATGGGGGGAACCTCCAAAAATCTAGATGATCAGAGTCTGGTAGCTAATCTTTCTGCTGATCTAGCTCTGGCATCTTAATGGGGGAAGGACTGGCTTGTAACATTATATACCTCAATAACCAAACTAGTAAAATTTTATCATCACTGAGCAGACTCTGAACTATTGCCTGTCATGGCAAATGGTTTTTCTCTCCTCACCTTGAATGTCTATTGAGTTTCCAGTTCCCCTGCGGCGTTCAAGTAGATGCTGAAAAAATAGTTCGTTCTTAATACTGATAGTGCTATGCACTATCTTTATAAGAGTCAGATCAGACCGAAAATGGCATACTGCTGCTGTCTGGGCTGGAGCTGTTCTGGAGCTGCTCTGGAGCTACCCAATACTCACTTTTTGATATAGTATACAAGCATCTTCACAGCCTTGTGAGCGATGAATTCTACTCTACATTTACTCTTTGGGTCAAATCACTGGATCCAGCCAATGCTTTTATCTTGTGACTTGACCCAAAGAGTCATGAGTTCAATACCTGGTTACTGTACGGCATGTGGAACTAGAAAAATTTACCCTGGTGGATGAAATAAAGGGTTCAGTTTGAAATTTCAATCACCTGAAGAAGGTTGGATAGTACAATGGCTGAAACGTCGGGAATATGGCAATAAAGATGAGGACAACAGTCCAAACAATATAAATAATGTAAAGAAATAGTAATAGTGAGAAGCTTGTGATGTCTTATTGATAAGAAAGGTGTCAGAGGGTGGAAAGTAATTTGTCACACACAAAGATGTGGAGACACTTTTGGAGCATGAAAAGTGGAAACTGTGCAGCTGTTGCCTGTATATGACAGCAGCCTGATCTGGCTCTTGTAAAGATAGAGGATAGCAAGAAGAGTCAGGTACATTCTGGAGTGGTACAGTGTTCAACCTTTTTTCCGGCACCTTTTTCAATGGCTTGTATGTACGAGTTCCACTTGAGATCTGGGCTGAGTAAAGTCACAACAGGCATTCAAGGCACAGAACCTCTGTGAGGGAACAGTCATTCATCGGGATTGGTGAAAGTTCTGGGTTCGATCGGCAATGGTGGAATGTCTTTATTTAAGTTTTCCAGGCATTGAATGTGACCAGCCTGTTATTTCCCCACTGAGCAGTTAGAGCTAGATCAGATGAAAGATCAGCTGCCAATTTGGAGGTGCACCCATATGCCATTGTATCATCAGCATAGATATTCACAAATGATCAGAGTGATCAAATTGAGCTAAATCTGTAGTCATTTTGCTGCTCTTCCCTTCTGATCCTTTCTATCAACTTTGAACCTGTTGTATTGAATTGTTCTACATGTGATCAGTAGTCAACTTCTGCCTGTCTCTTGCTTACCATATACTTTATATCTCTTCTACTTATTCAAATAACTAAAATTCTATTT